AGACTCTTATTTTTCAAAAAATCTTATTAGTGATGTTTTTAAAGGAAGAATTAAACGTGTAACTGAATGTTCAATGTGTCATTATAGCTCAGATATTTTTGAGGAATTTATTTCTTTATCAGTTCCAGTACCTCAATGGTATTCAAATGAAGCACATCCAATCTCATTAGAGAGTTGTATTGAATTATTTCTTCACTATGAAAATATAGATGATTGGTATTGTGAAAAATGCAACAAAAAAAGAAAGGCTAAAATATATTCAACTATCAGTGATATTCCTAAAGTTTTAATCATTCAATTGGTTAGAATATACTCAAAGAAATACCCAATTCAACAAGTTTTGTTTCCTTTAAATGATTTAGTAGTTCAAACATCCCCTAACCATTTCGACTTTTATGATTTATATTCTTTTATCGTTTGTTTATTTTAATTCTCCGTGTTTAAAAACTGGTTTATCAATATAGACTCATACAGGATCATTATCAAAAGGTCATTACATATCATGGAATAAAGTATCAAACCAATGGTACTGTTGCAACGATGAAAATGTCTCTCAAGGTAACCCTACCACATCATCTGATACTGTGTACATTCTTTTTTATAAAAGGAAGGTAAATTCAGCTGGTTATAATAAATAAACAATATTCAAATAATTTAATTTATTATTCAATTCATATTTATTTGATAATGAATTAAATAGTATTTAATTTGTATTATATAAGAATAGCTTGTATTTATTGTTTTTTCTAAATTATTTATTATTTTGTATTATTTCTTCATTACTTAATATTAATTTTCATATTAATCGTTTTTAAATACATCAATTGATTTAAATAATTATATTATATTTTGATATGTCTGGTTGTTTATTTTCTTCTTGTATTTGTTATTTTATTTTCTATTTCCTTTCTATTCTTTTTGTATGTTATCATACTTTGTAGAGTTGCTAGAAGAAGGTGAAGGGATAGAATTAGTCTCCCTGAGTCAGGAACAGTAGAATCTATTTCTATTAATACTTAATTAATTACTTTTTATTTACTTATATTTTATCTTTATCTTTTCTTTTATTAATTTTATATTGTGTCAATGAACATTTCCAGTTATTTATTTTCATTATACTTAAATTTAATTCATGTATTGTTATAATGACACTATCATAATTGATATATCTTTCATTCAATATGGTGTTTTGTTTTATTTTCCAATTTTCTTTATTTAATATCACCTGTGTTTCATATAACGATTTCAAATATTCTAAAGTAATATCGTTATTTGGTATATTTCATTTGTTGTTTCTTCTTTATTCTAATTTTCTTGTTAGAATCAAACATGATTTTATTTGTATTGATTCTGATTATTTCATCTTTATTAAATTTAATTCTTTCTTTGATCATTGTCATCATATATTTTATGTATTTTATTCTTTCTAATGCTTTAACTTTTATTCATTCTTCAACATATTCTTTTAATTTCATGATGCACTTTATTCTGTACAATTTCATTGACCAAATATTCTAGTCTATTTATTTTCTTTAGGATTTCTTTTATTTCATCAAATTTATCTCTTATTATTTTATTTTGGAGATAAAGGTGCATAACCATTGAAATATTCTTCATATCATCTTGCAGATCCTGCATTCTGCTTCCTGACCATATCCATCTATTATTAATTTCCATTATTAATCGGTCAGTTTCTTTTCTTTTCCAGTAGTAATTAATGTTGATACATTTTTCTATTTTCATTTCTTTTATATTATTGATGAGAGTGTTAAGATATTCTTCATCAATTTCAGTAAAGTTATTCTTTAATATGATGTTTTTTATTATTGAATCACACTCTACTCTTCCTTCTATTATATCTTTTACTTTCACTTTAATGTGCCTTTTAGTATTTTCTTTTATTTTATGTGATATTTTAATATATTTAATATATTCATTTTCATTATTGACATTGATGTTTGTCACTTTTATTATACTTTCTATTTGCTCCCATCTCAATTTCTTATATAATTTCTATTTAACCAATTAATTGCAAAACAATACATCACTTCATTTAAAATTCTATTTCTTTATTTTGTTGTATTTATTCTTGTATTTTTATTTTGTTTGTTATTTATTATTCTTGCAACTTTACATATTTCATTCATTTCTTTATTTGGTTTTGTTTTTAATTTCTTCATTTGTTTTAATGTCTTTTTCTTCAATCTCTTTTGTTTTCTTTATATTTTTCTTTAGTTTTTCATTTATCTTTTTCTTTTTGATTGAATATACTTCTTGAAGAATATCATACCACCTTTTTCTTTTCCCTTCTTACTTCTTGAGTATTTCTGAATATTCTCCTTTATTTCGATTCACTTATTATTCTTTTTATTATTTCTTGTATATCATTTCTTGTTAGCCATTTGTATTTGTTATTTGTGTAATCTTTATTATTATTGTATTTATCTTGTTTCTTATTTGTTTTTCTTTGTGTTTTTCTTCTTCTAACCCATTTTCCTTGGTATATCGTTTATCATTATTATTTCTTTGCCATTTATTGCTATTGACATTTTTTTGTATGACATTGAATTTTCTATGTCTTGTTTAGTTTTCTTTACAATACCCTAAGGTTTTACACAATAGCCATGGTATTAAAATTTGTTGTATTTCCTGCATTGGAAAAGGAAATATCTTCTTTTTTTACAAACAAATAAAGAAAATAAATAAGAAAGAATGATTATTTGTTGTACTTTCAAATAAATAAATATTAATAAATTAATGAAATGAATAATAATGAGAATAATTCAATTTAAATAAAATGAAATAAAAAGAATGATAAATAATTAATATTTCATTGAATAAAATATTATGTAATAAACATATTTCATAAATAAATAAATTAATTATTTCATTAATTATTCATTTTATTTAAATTATTGTTTATTTAAAATATAAATTATCATATTTTATATTAAATTATTCAAAATAAATTTAAATAATAATTCATTTAATTTATTTACTATTTTTAAATTACATCATCAAATTGTAATGTAAAAATACAATCATATCTTCTTTCTAATAACATTCAATCATTATACATATTTATTATCTTTTCAATTATTTCTTCTTTATGATAAATATTGTTGACAAGTTATTTTCTAGTTCCTCTTAGTCAATAAATTCAATATCTTCTTTTATAAACACAAATATTTTGGTAATTTTGTTTTCTATTTACTTCTTTTATTTCTTTTCTTCTTCCTGTTGATTTTTAAGAAGAATGATTTATTTAGTCTCAGTTCTTTCAACTTCTCATTTATTATAATTAATTTCTTCTATGTATTTCATTCTTTTATTTCTTTGTAATTTCTTTATTTTTATTTATTTGGTTATTACTTTCTTGTTTAATGTTTTATTCTTTTTTATCTTTTTCTTCAATAATGATATGTTAATCATTATCTCTTTTTCATTTATGCTACATTAATTGATGTTAATAATAGTATCATTATCATCACACTTACAATTCCATTTTATCTTTTTGTATTATAATAACAATATAAACATTTTGATTTATTAAATTATATTGGAAATGAATATTTTCCAGTTATTCCATTAAAAATTTCCAATAATTTTTGTTATTATTTATCTACTTTTATTTTCTTCTTTTCTTCATGAACTTCTTTATGAATATAGCAACAACATTTAATCAACACGATACAAACATATTTCTAAATTTCTAATATTGGAAAAACATTCTATATCATTTTATTCATTGTTTTATTATTTTATGAAAACATTGATTGAAATTCAAAATAATATTAATTGTTTGAAACTCTTTTTATTCTTTTTTTTTTAATATAATCAACACTATTTATTCATAGATATATTCTTTTCATTATTTTGTGTCTTGTAACACAGATGTATTAATAAATATATCTCATTTATCACTTTCTCAATATAATCATTTTATTTATTTAGTTTCTGATTTTGCGTCATTATTCTAAAACATTCTTCTTCATTTTGAATTTACAAAATGTAAATTTCAACCACTTATATTTAAAATGATAAATAATTTAATTTATTTAATATTCATTGATTGTTGTTAGTTGATAATCGTTTTAAATAACAATTAAACATGTCAATTATTTATTTATCAATTTGATGAATTGAAGTTATTTATTATTAAAAAACATTTCATTTTCATTTTCATTTGAAATAAATAACTACAATTCTACATTTTTTAAATATTCTTCACAACATATTTTATTTAAATGAAAAACAACAAAATATTTTATCGAATGTTATATAAACATTATTGTTGTTTTTATTTGATTTTTACATAAAAATGTATTTTTGAATTAAAGGAAATAAAAAATATTTAAAAATAAACGAATAAATTTATCGATAATTTAACACGACAATTTGTTTTTGTTTATTAGTTTGAAATTCAAACATCATTAAATAAAAATAAATTTTTAATGTTATGATTGAATAAGAATGAATAAATAATTTTACATGATTTTGAAATATATTTATTATTATAATTTTTAATTTAGTCACATTGATTATATTTTTTGTTTATTAATGAATTATCAATTGGAATGAATGATGTTAAATAATCAAAATAAAATAATGAAAAGGATATGATAAAATGTGGTTAAGAAAAAAGGAAGTAGTCATAGTATAGTGGTAATGCTTTATTCTCTCTCCTTCACAAAATAAAGTATAAGTCAAACAAAAGGATTAAAAAGGAAGAAGTAAAAATGATTAAGAAGATATTGATAGGAATAAATAAAACAAAGAGGTGTTTTACTAATACTTCTAGAAAACATGAAGGATATGATGAGTAAAAGGAATGAATTTCATAGTGGGAAGTGAATGGATGTGATTAATGTCATTGAAACAAAGAAGAATAGAAACAAGTTGTAATAATACTTAATTAATTAGTTTTACTCTATTGTATTTAAAATTAAAAGAAAAATGATAAGAAAGATAATAAGAAGAGGCATAACAGTGAAGAAATAAAACATTTTTGAAAAGTATTTAAATTTAAATATAAAAATTGAAGATAGGAAAGAAGTTATAAAGAATAAAGAAATAAACAACAAAAAAGAAAATAAAAGAAGGATAATAAAAATAAAAAGAAATAGAATAGAATAAGAAAATAAAATGGGGGTAATAAACACAAAAGACAAAAAGAGAAATAAAAAGAAAATGATGACAAGAAAAATATAAATACCAATGAAACAACATTTATGTTTATATAATAAAATAAAAATAACGACACAATAATATTAACGAAACTAAAAATGAAAGAAAAGAAAAAACATAATTTTAGATAAAATAAATATAAATAACATGACATTAAGAATGATGATAATATTTTTTTCATTTATGTAACGATAAAATAGAAATAATAATTCATCATTGGAATAAAATAGAAATAATAATTCATCATTCCACAAAATATAAAGAATGAGTAACTAGAAAATAAAAATATGTTTGGGAATTGAAGATCGAGAGAAATATGGAAGAAACATACCAGAAAGATACTATGGAATATCAGACGGATGTTTTAGTGGAAGT